TTTTCCTCTACTTTTTATTCTATGTAAAATACTATTCAAGTGTATACAGCAATTCGTTACTAACATTGCTAAAGAAATATATATACACACATTTATTGTGTTAACATATTCTAAACAATTTATTGTATATCAAATTTATATTTTATAGATGAATGATACATCAAAGTTACAGACTATATTATAATAATCTGATAAAATATTTTGCTACACGTAGATTACAACGTGTTTTTTCTTATGAAGTTGAGTATTGTTAAACTAATAAGTATATAATTAGTAAATTTACAATATTCCATTTTCATAAGCTTCGATATTTTCAGTGAATAATTTGCGATGAAAATTTAAATCCGCTGAAGAGAAAACAGCATTACCGTCGAAAGTAGAACACGAGCTATAAATTGTTAAAGAAGTCATTTACGCTTGATATAGATCGCTTCTGATGTCAGCGCGGCAACATGTTAATAACTCACGCAGACTAATGAGCGCCATTAATGTTTTTGCCGCGGGTCCTCGGAGGAACGAGCATGGAGAAACGGCCAGCGTCGTCAACGATTACACAAACACCCTGAAAACAGCGGTCTTCCTCTTTGTCTGCCTTGTCGCGCATGTACCTCGACATCCGGTGATTCCTCACGTACACGGGCGCACGTTGGCGAACGTATATCTTCTGGAATTCCGCAGTCCACGAGTTTTACGGAGGCTCGGATGCTCCGATTGAAAAATGAAACTGATGCTTATCTCGTAATTGATAGAGACAGACTTAACGTCGTCGTAACAGAATAGCGATGAGATTTCCGTAACGCATCATAAAACGCTCGAGAAAATGCGCATTACAATTTCAATCGACTTAATGAAGAAACATTGCGAAGTGTTCGTAACGAAGGCTCGCACTCGGGTCAGAGGCCGTCGCACAAATGGATGATTGATATTGCTAAAGACGTACGTTTACAGACGTATCTTACATACATCGTAAGCACCGTAAGCAGATATACGTACGATTTTCCATGGTTACAAAACTACCCTGCAAGGACGGGTATTTTTTCGCGTCACGCTTGATCGCTCGATCGCCCTGTGGCTGTTGCCAGAAGCGATAGATCGTGAAATCTTTAGGAAAAAATATGACGTAGGTATGAATAACCGAGGAAAATAACTCTGCAAATATTTTCTTTATACGAACAAAATTAAATTCTAACTTATATGTATTTACGCAAGTTATACAATTTTTTGTAAATATTTGACAAGTGGTACACAAGAGATATTTTTCCAGGAGTAATTGCGCTTATATTTGGTCTTTACATTAAGATTTGCCGTAAAAATAATCGTCCGCAAATTTCAGGTCTTTCATTAATTATCCTTTGTGTCAGTTCAGGTAATTTAGACAAAATTTTTTCGATGCGATAATTGCAAACGTAAATCAATATGAAAGAACTGTATCTGAGTTGGCCAACTTTTCAGGCATGGAGTCTTTCGGATTCAGACCTCGTGGCGCAACTTTTGCCTTCGCTACAATGCGAATGGACATCCGCCTTCAGCAAGACCGAGATCGATTCGCCGCCTCGACGCAACATATTCAAATTAATGTCCGGAGATCGGTATCCGAATGAAGAGTTACAAGAGGCAGGAAGAAGATCGTTACTCCTTCAACATCTCGCTTTTTCCGCAAATGTAAATGAAACTACCCGATAATTATACCTGAACGAACATCATATTCATTCGCAGAAGTGTTTAACACGATGTAAAGCTGTACAAGGTATCTCAGCAACAATCTTATTCGCACATTTATGGTGCCTTTTCTTTAGTTCTACAAAAATCTAGGTTTTCTTCCTTTTTTTCGAGTTAACGCATTATAATATGTTACGTTACCAGGAGATTTATTTACATAACTACAGCCTGTCGGGATTATATTTAAAAATCTGTTAGGGACAGACTGTTCAGACAGTCGCAAAGGCATTTAAAATAATGCTGCAAGGGACGTACTTTCAGATACCATGATTCAAGTATTAAGTAACGATAGTCACTATCGGTATAATAATTTCACGTAATAGGCGATAACGTCGTGCGAACATGTGCAAGTCTAATGACGGTATAAATCACTAGCCGAGAATCGGCGACACGTTGCGGGCAAGAAGTTCCATATAAAATGAGCAGAACTGGATCGATATATAATCTAAGTTTGTCGCACGACTGACTTGGAAATCCATCCGCGAGACAGAGAAGGCCAAGATTATCTATTTCCGTTGGAATGATGTTGACTCGTATCTGCATTATACGCTGACCTAGTCCTTTTCCGAACAGTTAAAACTTGCGTAAGTGTTTCACCGCGTAACAAATATGCACGCTTTTGCGAAACTTGGGCACTGTTCAATGCGAGTTTTTTCTTCCTTAAAGTTGCAATTCATTTTAAAAAATACAATTTTATTACTCGGCATTTCCTTGGCGAAGCAAACTCCTGGGTGAAAGATCTTTTCTCTTCTCACTTGTTTTCAATCGACGTCGTAATCGGGGAAACTATCGAAATAGAAAATACAAATTAAGCTTCTTGCATCGCCAGGAAAGAAAGGGACATTTTCATCCTGCGGTTTTTGAGCGTCGTTGAAAAATGATATAAAAAGTTTTATCCATTTGTCATTTCTCAAGTTTGCCGTGTTTCGAGCCCCCGTTTTTTGTCGGCAGAGACTTAAATAAATTATTTGAATAAATCTCGGCAAGATGTTCTCGATACTCGGACAATCTTCAGATGATTCTCATTGTACAGCCCGAACGGGACATCTGGGATCGAGGCCGGTCCGATTCCGAACGTGGATCTCCCGTCTGTACAATTATCTTCGCGCTCTACTGGTGAGGCGGTAAAAGGTCGCGGTTGATGCAATCGGCCACGATATACTCTCGCAGAGTACGCGGTTAGATTACGGCGTGTTGGCCAATTGCCAGAGCTCAATTAAGGCTTTTTAGTTTTACGAGCGCTTATCGGCCGTCAAGTAGCGTGTGGATTATTGTTTAAATATGGATCGTTGACTCGATCGCGCGCTGAAACATTAAATGCTCACCAACACACTCTGCATCGCACTCGCATAAACGCACGTACTCGCATGATAACCACGTAAAGAACCCCGGTAATTACGATGCTATTCACTGCGCGTTCCAAAGAGAATAGGGAAAAGACAGCAAGCAGTTAGAGATATGAAGAAATCTTCCTACGAAGAGGAGGAAGACAAGGTGTTTGTACTATTTCATTTTTTTACATTTTAAAGCACTTCATTTTTTTCTTTCAAAGATTTCTCGAGTTTGCTCTTTGTATCCGTGAATAGTGTCTGCATGCGCGTATTGCCTTAAAGATAATAAAGCTCGACTAACTTTATCATGTAACATTCTCGTGCTCGTCCCGT